CATGTGACCAGCGCTGCCAAAAGTGTTGCTTCACGGCTGTGATTCGATGCCAATGGTGATCGATCTGCTTGTACGATTCTGAGTGCTCTGGTAGTACCTTTAGCGAACACCCAATCAGCAGGTGCCCCGGAGTCAACGCTTCGCAGTCACTTGGATCTGTGGGTAGTGGGGCAATGGGCCGAGAATTCAAAATGGCCTCGATTTCAATTAATGCCGTTGACAGCTCCTCAAACGTTAAGCGAACACCAGAAAGTGTTCGTTCTAAGTGACCTTTGGCTGCCTTCACCGCAGCCTCCCATAGGCCGCCGAAGTGGGGTGCTCTGGGGGGTATAAAACGAAAGTTAACAAATTCTTGTGAACAAAAACTTACTATTTCGGTTTGCGTTTTCGAATCAAATAAGAAGTCTTTAAGGGCAGCTAATTTGGACTTCGCTCCCACAAAATTTGTAGCGTTGTCGCAAAAGATGTCGCTGGGCAAGCCCCTGCGACCGATGAAACGCTTTAGAGCAGCGACGAATACTTCGGTCGAAAGATCCGATACAGCTTCGATGTGTACGGCTTTGCTTGATAAGCATATAAAAATGGCGACGTAGGTCTTGTAAGGTACCTTTCCTCTGATCCGAAGGTATGTATTAATTGGGCCGCAATAATCAACTGCAACTCGTGAAAAAGGTCTGCTCGGAGTTAGTAACTCTACAGGCAAATTACCCACCATTTGCTCAAGAAGCCGTGGACGGTAGCGTACACAGTGGATGCAGCCATTGACAATGCGGCGAGCGAGATTTCTTGCATTGATTATCCAAAATCGGCGACGGATAAGAGCAATAAGCGTTTTCGGACCAGCGTGGTAGTTTGTGCGATGTAAATGACGAACATAATTTTCGACGAACTGACTCTTCGAAGGCAGAAACACAGGATGTTTTTGTTCTTCTACGAGGTCAGCATTTTTCAAGCGTCCGCCAACCTTCAGTAGCATGAACCCTTCAGTAGAAGAGATAAATGGGTTCAAATACTTCAAAGGTCCTCGAGGCTCGCGATTCGTCTTGACACGATCAATCTCGGCGCTAAAATAATAGCGTTTGATTAAACACACGATGCACCAGAGAGCATGCTGAAGCTCCTGTGGAGTTAACGAGGCCGACTCGAAGGGTCTGTTGAGCTTGGTGTTGATTTTGTTATAAAATCGAAAGATCCAAGATACCACTCGAAGTGAATAAATGTGCGAACTAAATTTTTCGATGACATCAAGCATGTTTGAATGGGCGACAACGCAGAATGCAGATTTGCGTTTTTCCCTTTCAACTTCTGCCATATCTAACTGGTTATGCGCTAGTTTGCATGGCCACTGGTCCTCTGGCAACAACAAAAATGATGGCCCCGTGTACCAGATTGAGTCGTGAAGTTCCTGGACTGTGCATCCCCTGGTCACGATATCTGCAGGGTTATCTTGTGTAGGTACGTATCTCCAAGTACAGCCTTTGGTGAGTTCTTGAATTTCCGCTGCCCTGTTGCCAACGAACGTCGAGAGTGTAGCTGAATGCGAACGTAGCCAATGCAGCACAATTGATGAATCGCACCAAAAAAATGTATGTCCGTAGTACTTGCTCATGGAAGATTGTATTTGTTGAAATACCTTTGCGAGTAGATGAGCACCGCACAGTTCCAACTGCGGCAACGATCGCTTTTTTATCGGTGCGACCCGCGACTTGGCTGTCAACAATCTCACAGTTGTACGATTGGCACGATCCGTAGAACGAAGGTACAAGCAACAACCATATGCGCGGTTGGACGAATCGCAAAATCCATGTATTTGTACTGAAGCCCTGGGTTGTGTGACGCAATATCTTGGCACGCTAATCGATGGCAACGAAACAAAATCGGTGATGAGATTGTGCCATGCCGTATGTAGGTTTTGTGGCACCGATTCATCCCAATTCAATTTTAATAGCCACCACTCTTGCAACATGATTTTGGCCTTGATTGTGAGTGGAGACAAAAGACCGAGCGGATCGAATAACAACGAAGCGAGAGATAAAATTGTTCTTTTTGTTACCTTACCATTAAACGGCTTCTTGGGCTTAAACGAAAACTGGAACATGTCTTGTGCTTGGTTCCATGTTAGACCTAGTGTGCTAGTTGTGTTTAAATTGTCGAAACTCATGTATTTTTCCTCCTCATTGTTCGTAAGGCTTTGGTAATTTGAGTGCCACTTCGCTAAGTCAAAGCCACCCTTGCTAAGAATTTCGGTTACCTCCCTTTTGATTTACGAGAGTTCACGAAATGAGCCCGCACCACTGAGCAAATCATCGACGTAGAAAGAAGAGTTGATAATTTGTGCACCAAGAGAGTACTGAGTTCCGTACTGGTTGGCTAAGTACTTGAGCGTACGCACTGCCAAAAATGGTGCAGCAGACGTGCCATAGGTAACGGTGTTTAGTTGGAAAGAGCGCAG